TTTACTTATGTATACAGTGTTCTGCCTGCATGTCTGCTTACAGGCCAGAAGAGGGCACCAGATCTCATTATAGATGGTTGCAAGCCACCATGTGGTTGTTGGGAATTGAACTCAGGACCCCTGGAAGAGCAACCAGTGCTCTTAGCCTCTGAGCCATCTCTCCAGCTCAATAGCTGATGATTTTATGGAGTATTGGAATAACTGTTCTTTAAAGATACTGTGGGCCATGTGGATACATGAAAACAGTTTTTTTTAAAGGGACAAAATAGTTATACTTGGTTGTTAAAACTTTAGCAAGGTTGGTGGGCACACTTTTGATCCCATCTCTCAGGAGGAAGAGGCAGGTTGATCTTTGTGAGTTTAAGGCTAGCCTGGTGTACAGAGCTAGTTCTAGAACAATCAAGAATACACAAAGAAACTATTTTGTGGGAGGGGTGGGGGCGCTTAACAGAAGATTGAAGAGGTACAGTGCTATATATGTATAATCAGTTAGTGAAAACAAGTTTCTATAGTCTTCTTGCTGGTGGGTGGTATATATATTTAAAGGCAGTTGTGGCACACACCTTTATTCCAGCCTTGTAAGATAAAGTGTGTTCAGGACTGCCAGGACCACACAAACAAACTCTGTCAACAAACACACACACATACAAAAAGATGATTTAAAATGGGGCTAGAAAGTTTGCTTTATAGTTAAGAGTACTGACTGATGATCTTCCTGAGGACCTGCGTTTGATACTCAACACCAACATGGGCCCCTCAAAACCAGGTCCAGGTGATCCAGAGCCCTCTTCTGGCATGCAAATAGTACAAAGACATAGTTGCATGTAAACAATTATAAAATACAACAGTAAAATAAGAGATTTAAAATGAAGCCAAGTCAGAGTGACAAATGCTTCTAATCCCAGCACTGGATGAGGCTGATATAGGATTCATAGGTTCAGAGCTAGCTGTGGTTTTTATGGTTGGTTGGTTTTTGTTTTTTTAGGAGAGGGTATCTTTTCTCAGACTGGCCTTAAAGTCACAATGTAGAATGAGGATGACAGTAGATATGCCAAAGTATATGTATGATAAAAAGCTCACAAGGCCTCAACCTACATGAGGAACTACAAGCAACTAAAGAATACTGAAAGGCAAGAGAGATAGTCTTCCCCAGAGAGAGCACACCCATTTAGTTATCCAATACCAAGAGGTCAGCCCTGAACACATACATACAAGTAACATACAGACTGAGGTTCTATGTAGGAATGTGTATGTATACACATATATGCATCTAGTAACAGCTAATAAAAAAAGAGGCCATGAATTTGAAATCAATCAAGGAGGGATCTATGGGAGGGGGTTGGAGCCAGGAGGGAAGGGAGGGCAGAAATGCTGCAATGATTATACTCTGAGAAACATTAGTGAAGAGGAAGAAATCACTGTAGCTGAGGATGGCTTTGGCCTATTGATTCTTCCTGTGTCTGCCATCCCAGTGCTGGCATTACAGGCTTGTGCCACCAAACCTGGCTTGCCGCATTTCTTCAGTAAATTCCAAAGCCATTTGGAACTGGGATCTGATGAGTTTTGTTCTTTTCTTTCCTAGCCGGGCCCCTCAGATGAGGGCTGCTCCTAGACATGCACCTGCAGCTCAGCCTCCAGCAGCAGCTGCACCATCTGCAGTTGGCTCCCCTGCTGCTGCACCCAGGCAGCCAGGCCTGATGGCCCAGATGGCAACCACTGCAGCTGGTGTGGCTGTGGGCTCTGCGGTGGGTCACACCCTGGGTCATGCCATCACTGGGGGCTTCAGTGGGGGTGGCAGTGCTGAGCCTGCAAGACCTGACATCACTTACCAGGTAAGAGTTGGGGCAGCTCTTCCTTTCTGTGTTTCTATTTTCTGAGAACACTGGGCAACTTGTATGTAGGAGCCCGTGTTTGGTTTTAGGATCCACAACTCTTCAAGTACAAAGTGGTGTGCCTCCCTCCTTCCTTTTCTTAAGTGGGGATTGCTGGAGGTATGGTTCAGTGAATAAGCACCTAATTCTGAAGCCATGTGGACCTGAGTTCAAAACCCATGAACCACAAAAAGTCAGGCCTAGCCATACATATTCTGTAACTCCTGCACTGTGTAGGGGAGACAAGCAGATCCCCTCAACTTGGCTGGCTGGCAGTTGTGGTGAAATGACCTGTTTCAGTGAGAGGCCCTGTCTCAAGGCAATAGGATAGAGAGTGGTAGAGGAAAGACACCCCATGTCTTGGTTGCCTCTCTTTGGGGCACACCCACCCAAATGCTCATGTTTGAGCATCACATCAAAAAGCCACATAGCATGACTTAAGTTAAACCTTTAGACAAGCATCAATAAATAGACAAGCATCAATAAATAGAACAGACTGGAAACATAACCGTCCAGCCCAACTTCTGTAAAATGGCCCTTTTTTATTATGTATACAGTCTTCTGCCAGCATGTATATCTGCAGGCCAGAAGGGGGCACCGGATCTCATACATGGTTGTGAGCCACCATTTGGTTGCTGGGAACTCGGGAAGAGCAGCCAATGCTCTTAACTTCTGAGCCATCCCTCCAACCCCCTGCCTTGGCTTTATCTTGGCTATACTGTTGGTTTCTGTTGTTTCGCTTGGAGACTAAGTCTTCAGTGTGTGACCCAAGCTGACTTCAAGCTTGTAGCAGTCTCCTTGTTTGGTTTCTCAAGTGTTGGGGAGTTACAGCCATGAGGCCTGGCCTTTCAGTTCAGTCTGTTACATAATCACAAGTCCCTTTCACAGCTTTTGACCTGATATTTTTCCCCCTCCCCCTCTCCCTGGGGTGTTTGCATTTTGAATGTGCTAAGGATCATGTACTCTTGAAATGTGGTGTATCTGAAGTTCTCATCCATCTCTTTCCAATAATAGTCCTATTTTTCCTTAAGAATGGTTCTCCTTGGGCTGGAGAGATGGCTCAGCGGTTAAGAGCACTGACTGTTCTTCCAGAGGTCCTGAGTTCAATTCCCAGCAACCACATGGTGGCTCACAACCACATTGAATGAGATCTGGTACCCTCTGCTGGCATGTGGGCAGAAAACTGTATACTAAATAAATAAAATCTTTAAAAAAAAAAAAAAAAAAGGAATGGTTCTCCTTTTTCTATATTTGTAGTGTTGGGGTTCAAACCCAAGCCAAAGCACACAATCTTATTGTTGAATCCCTAGCCGCGTGCGTGTTTGTATGTGTGTGTGTGTTTACAGTGTTAACATCAAGTCCAGAGCCTTGTGTGTACTAAGCAACTTTCTCAGTACTACCTAATATTATGTCTTGGCAGGAGCCCCAGGGAACCCAGCTGCTGGACCAGCAGCGAGGGCCATGCTCTCTTGAGATCAAACAGTTTCTGGAATGTGCCCAGAACCAGAGTGACGTCAGGCTTTGCGAGGGTTTCAATGAGGTGTTGCGACAGTGCAGAATTGCAAATGGTAGGTGATCTGTCCATCTGCTCAGAGTTATAGTCCTGAACCCTGTGGGGTTTTGGAGTTAAGTCCCCAAGTAGAACTTTTGATTTTCAAGACAGGATTCTCTGTGTTCTCCTGGCTCTCACTCTGTAGACAAGGCTGGTCTTGAACTCACAGAGGTCCGCCTGGCTCTGCCTCCTGAGTTCTGGGATCAAAGGCCATCACCGGCTGGGACAAGCAGAACTCTTGATTAGACTTCCTGGAGTGTTGGCAGTCCCATTGTTTCTGTGGTTTCTCTTGTAATTTCAGAAGTTCACTCTCTATTAATTAAAATGCTTGTTCTTGTTTTCCCACCCTATGGGTTGTGGGAGAGCGGGGAAGAGAGCGAACCTGTCTAAAATGGTTAGAACTCTTTGTTGGCTACCAAATGGCTATATTTCTGCTTCAGGCCTTTGTTTCTAGAAACACATGTTCCATGTCTTAGATAGAACTGAAGTTTGATTAAAGGAATAAGTAAATGTCTTGGAAAAGCTAACAGTGTATCTGGGCATCTTCTAACTTAATGTTTTCTTTTAACAGGTTTAATCTAATCAAGAAGTTCAAACTGAAGAAATGGGCTCTGCCTAATTGATAGTGAAAGTGTGGACCCTGAGTAAACAAATCTTATTTCTAATAGCTCCTTTACTTCAGCCATGAGAGAGTCCTAACTGTATGTTCACTCAGTTTGTAGTGTTGGGGACTGAGCAAGTGATGGCCTCCTTGAACCAACTGTATTGTTTCTTGTGAGTTAATGAAAATAAAATTGTTTGATTCTGAGGTGTGATAGTGTCCTTATTGTAGGGTCATAACGAGTTTGTGCAAGAATACAGCTATATCTGCATGTCTTTTGGTTCATCTAATCCAGTGGTTCTCAACCTTTGTAAGGCTGGACACTTTAATATATTTCTTCATGTAGTGGAGAACCCCATCCATAAAATTATTCCATTGCTACTTGGTAAAGTTCATCATCAGTCATGCTGTTCATGTTTAAATGGTTTTTAACTGCTCCAGGCCCAGGGTCCCAGAAGGATCCCTCCTGGTTGGTTTTTAGTGTTTTTTTTGTTTTGTTTTGTTTCTCTGTGTAGTCCTGGCTGTCCTGGAATTTGGCTGTGTAGATAAGGCTGACTTCCGGAACTCAGATATGCCTGCCTCTGCTTCTTGAGTGCTGGGATTAAAGGGTGCACTACCATTGCCCTGCTTCCCTCACTGTGTCAGACCATAGCCTCAGACACACTCAAGGAGTTGGCTGACACAGTACAACTTTTGAGAGCAAGGTGCATCCTAGAGCTTTTTTTTTTTTTTCCATTTCAGTACTGATTCTTAGTCCAGTGGTGGTGGCACACGCCTTTAATCCCAGCACTGGAAGGCAGAGGCAGGCAGATCTCTTAAGTTCAAGGACAGTCTGGTCTACAGAGTAAGTTTCAGGACATCCAGAGCTAAACAGTGAAACCCTCTTTCTGGAAAAAAAAAAATCACTAATTCTTAAGTGGTTTTTTTTTTTGTTTTTTTTTTCTGTTTCTGCCAAATGGCTTATTTACAAGTTTTTTGTGTGCTCTGTTTCTGCCAAATGGCTTATTTACAAGTTTTTTGTGTGAGTGTTTGCCTGGGTGTATATCAGTGCACTGTGTGTGGTACCCTCAGGACAGAAAACTAGATCCCCTGGAGCTGCAGTTGCAAATTGTTGAGCAAGCATGTGGGTGCTAGAAAAAACAGGAGTGCTGCAAGAGCAGCCAGTGCTCCTATCCATGAGCCATATAGCCCCTACATTTCCATATGGTTGTCTCTTCAAGGCAGTTTCTCTGTAACAGCCTTGGCTATCTGGGACGCAGAGATCTGCCTGCCTCTTCCTCTTGAGTGCTGGGACTAAAAGTATCACTACACCCTGCTATGTGGAGTCCTAGTTAACCCTTTAATGGAAAAGACCTTTATGTGCTTAACGGTGTTAGGGAATGGGTGAGAGTGGCAGCATGGTTAGGCAAGCATTCTCCAGGCTCTGGGGCTTGTCAAAAGCCTTGCCAACAGGTAAGTGATTGATAAGACATTATGGGATGGGTTCCCTGTCACAACATCATTATTACTGTGTGTTACTACACTAAGTTGGCTGAAGCCTTTTTCTTTTGTGTACCTTTGAGATAGGGTTTCCCTTTGTAGTCCAAATCGGCCTAAACTGATAGTCCTGCATCAATCTCCTTAGTGGTGGGAATAGAGACCTGTGCTAAAATAAGCAGTTTAAAACCATCCTCTATACAACTCTAATTTGTAGTTTGGATACTTCTACTTCTTGTAAAACTAGACTAACCCTCCCCCTCCCCCTTCTATGTTTGGTATTGAACCCAGTACCTCAGGAAAGCTTTGTCACAGTGCTCCAAACTACCCCTATTCCTTGGATTGCCCTAGGTTTAAACCAAACTGGTCCTGATGGCACACGTAATCCCAATTAGAAGCAGGCAAGAGACCTGCCACAACTTGGAGCCAGTCTGTCACACGTGGGTGAGGCAAATGTGTTGAATCTGAGGAGAAATACAAGGTCATTGCCGTGCTCGGTGGTGAATTCCTATAATCCCAACACAGAAGGGCGGAGAGGCAGGAGTGCAAAAATGGAGGGTAGTCGGGGCTGTGCAGCAAGGCTCTTTAAAAACAACAATGCATTCCTTTCAAAGCTGGTGTTACCAGGCCCTAGAGATGGGCAGCTTATGTTGAGCACTTGCTGCTCTTTCAGAGGACTTAGGTTCAGTTTCCAGACTCATACTGGCTTACCACAGTCCAGTTCCAGGGGACCCAGTGCCCTCTTCTGACCTCAGGATATAAGGCATTCCTGTGGTACACATATATACTGCCAGCAAAAGATTCTCATGCACGTATTACAAAATTTAAACAGCTGGAGAACTGGCTCATCCAGTAAGGTTGTAATACTGCTTTTCCTGAGTTTGATTTCTAGCACCCACATCAGATAGCTAAAACCATCTAAACTCCAGCTCCAGAGAAATCCAACACCTCTGGCCTCTCCAGGCACCTGTACTCATGTGCATACAAAAACAATTAAAAATCAATGTTAAAAAAAAACAGGCTTTGCCTGATCCTGAAGCTTGAGCTTTCCCCAGCCTTCACCAGGTGGCACCCCTGATGCAGTTTTACTGGACCTTGGCCTGCATCCCGGCTTTGCAGTTGTGGTTTATTTTTGGCAGGCCAGCCTTCCATCACCAACTACCCAGTCCCAGAAGAGGAGGAAGACAGCAACTCCAAGCACAAGTGTCTGCTCAGGACACAGCTCCAGGACTTCGTGGTCCCCCATCTCTGGAGAGCTCCAGGACTGTGGAATTCTTGTTACTTTCATCCAAGAACCTACAAGGACATAACAGTGAGTATGGAGGCAGCAGTTGGGGAGCAGTGGGGTTTTGAGGCAAAGACAGAAAGCCTCAAATCCGTTTGACCCATTTCTCCTCAGACCTGGGAGAGCACCGGTTCTCAGAACATCTATCAGGCAGTTACCTACAGATGATGTAGCTCTCTGGCTAGTTTTCTGGGAGGGATAGTAGTTCCAAAACACTGGACCACCTACCCTTATTTAGAATGCCCCCCCACACACACACACACAGGGAGTCTTGGAACAAGTGTGAAGGCCAATGAAGCAGAAAATAGAGACCCATTGTTGGTTCCAGTAAAGCCTTAAGAAAGGGGAGGTGAGCCGGGCAGTGGTGGCGCACACCTTTAATCCCAGCACCCAGGAGGCAGAGGCAGGCAGATCTCTGAGTTCGAGGTCAGCCTGGTTTACCAAGCCAGTTCCAGGACGGGCTCCAAAGCTACAGAGAAATCCTGTCTCAAAAAACCAAAAACCAAACAAGAAAACAAAAAAAGAGTGATGGACACACACATGATCAGAAAATGTGAGTACAGACAGAATTTGGCCAGCTTGGCTCAGGATGGCATCCTGGTATAGACCCAGAATTCTCTATACCCATGCAAGGGATCTGGTATGACTGTCATAATAGGTGAGAGGCACACACACTCATGTTGGGGAGTTTTAAAACAACCCTTTCGGTAAACAGGCTTGTTGTTGAGGGGAACTAACACCTTTAGGTTCTGTTGGCTGTTTATGTGCACAGGCCAGGTTCCTGCTATTGGCAAGGGAGACAGTTGTTATTCTATGCCTTCTTCTGGTAACCAGGCACCCGGTAGCTGGGACACCAGGCTTCCTGCAACAGCCAGCTTGAGGCAGCCAGGACTGCTACGTGGCTGGTCAGCAAATGGGGCCTCTTGGGAGACCAGGCCTCAGGCTCACAGAAGTGGACTAGAAAGCATGTGTCTCTTGGCTGCCTGCCTCATCCCATTGCTGGGTGATTTTCTGCCTTTCTCAAACCCTGGGCCTGAAGCAGGAGTTGAGTTTCCTGGTAGGAGCCTCTATGTTCCTGCAGCAAGATGGGTCAGCTTAGCTTCTCCACATCCATGCCTGACCAACCCTGACTTTGGCCTGAGGGTGTAGCTCGGTGGTTGAGTGCTTGCCTAGCTTGTACAAGTCTCTGGGTTCTATCCCCTGTACCTAAAAATAATAAGAAAGCCAGGAAGTGATGGTGCATACCTTTAACCCAAGCACTGGGGAGGCAGGGACAGATGCAACTCTATGAGTTCAAGGCCAGCTTGATCTACAGAATGTGTTCCAGGACAGCCAGGGCTACAGAGAAACCCTTTCTTGAAAACCAAAAGTAAATAGATAAAAATAAGGGTAAGTGACTCATGCCAGGCATGGAAATACGTGCTTTTAATGCCAGCACTAGGAAGCAGAGGCATGTGGATCTCTGAGTTTAAGGCCAGCCAGGGCTGCCTAGAGTGAACCTTTCTAAAAAAAAAAAAAAAAAAAATTATTGTTCACACTGCTCCAGGACTCCCTAGGGCTTACTGGCCATTGTTTAGTGTCTAGGGCATTCCATCTTCTAAGGCCTGTGCCAGTGGATCACCTGTTCATTGAATTATACTCAGCAGTTACCACACACGTGTGCTGGGCAGAGGGCACAGAGGCCTAGTCATGATAGTCTAATGGGAGGTGACACCAAAGGCTCTGATCTGAGACCAACACCCAGCTCCGATACAGTGCATGGCTTTCTTTTGTACAATTATTTTGATTTTTATGTGTATGGCTGTTTTGTCTGTGCACCACTTATGTGCCTGGTCTCCTTGGAGGCCAGAAGAGGATATCAGATCCCCTGGAACTAGAATTATAGATGGTGGTAAGCTGCCATATGGGTGCTGGGATTTGAACCTGGGTCCTCAGAAATAGCAGCCAGTGCCTGTAGTCACTAAGCTTTCTTTCCAGTATTCTCCCCTCCCCCATTTTTAATTGATACATAGTCTCATGTAGCCCTGGCAGGCCTAGAATTTGCTATGTAGACCAGGCTGGCCACTTGGCCTGTTGTTTGGTTTGTTTGCTTTTTTTGTTGTGTGTTTTGTTTTGAAGAAAGAAAGAAAGAAAGAAAGAAAGAAAGAAAGAAAGAAAGAAAGAAAGAAAGAAAGAAAGAAGAGAGAAAGGAAGGAAGGAAGGAAAGAAAAGGAAGAAAAGGAGGTGGGAGGGGGTGGGGAATTGACTGCTTCTTTCTGTACCCCTTTCAGAGGCCCTTGGGATCCCCCTGAGACCCACTGAGCATGACCCGGGATGAGGCCCTCCCTGACTCGCATTCTGCACAGAGTTTCTATGAGAACTATGAGCCCAAGGAGGTCTTGGGCAGGTAAGACCTGGACCACCTGTGGAAACCCTGGCCTTAGCACTATGATCGGAAAGATTGGTGCCACCCTCAGTACTTTCTGTCCCCTTTGTTCCTCCCCTTAGAGGGAGAAGGGAAGTATGTATTGCAACGTGCCATGGTTTACTGATTGATTTTATTTTTATTTTATGAGTACAGTGTTTCACCCGAATGTTCGTGTACTACATGCATGTCTGGTGTCCTTAGAGGTCACAAGTGGGTGTGGGATCCCCTGGGGTTTCAGACAGTTGTTAGTAGCTATGTGGGTGCCAGAAACTGAACCCAGGTCCTCTGAAAGAGCAACAAGTCCTTTTTTTTTTTCCCCAACAGGTGCTCTTAATCGCAGAACTTTCTCTCTAGTCCCTGTACTGCCCTTGGTAAGGGACTCCCCTGGAGTGTGGGGTCCTGAGGCCATCTGCTTTCTGCCCACAGGGGAGTCAGCAGCGTGGTCAGGCGCTGTATCCACAAACCCACATGCCAGGAGTATGCAGTCAAAATCATCGACATCACAGGTGGAGGCAGCTTCAGCTCCCAGGAGGTGCAAGAGCTCCGGGAAGCCACACTGAAGGAGGTGGACATTCTGCAGAAGGTCTCGGGACACCCCAACATCAGTGAGTGGATCTTCCCAGCCCCATTACCCCACAAAACCATGGTAGTGTGCTTTGTGGTAGTCAGGGCATAAGAGCCATCTAGTGACCAGCTATACCCATCCATCTCCACCTCATGCTCAGTGGCTCTGCCAGCCCATTGCTGCGGCTCTAGGTCACAGGTGCCACCCTCACTGCTCATACTGTTGGGAGTGGCTGCAGGTGAGGAAGGGGTCCTTCCCACACCTCTGTGATTGCCCTGGAACCCTATCACATTCCCACGCCTGCCTTTGAAGCCAGCCTGCCTGGTCACTGTGACTCCTGCCATGTCTCCTCTGCTCCTTGAGACCAGCTAGCCTTTTCCATTTCAGTACAGCTGAAGGACACTTACGAGACCAACACTTTCTTCTTCTTGGTATTTGATCTGTAAGTACCCAACCCTGGAGCACCATTACCTTGGGGCTTATAAAGCCCGGCACAGGTCCCCACCAGGCTGTTAGGGGCCAGCATCTGTCCCCCAATTCCCATGATGAAATACCAGGCAAAATCAACAGTTGATTCAGGGCCACTCTGCCAGGTTTGAAACCTATAATACCAATTATGGATGGGTTATATAGTTTTTTAATTAAAGAAATTTCTATGCCGGGCGATGGTGGTGCACGACTTTAATCCCAGCACTTCAGGAAGCAGAAGAAGGTGGATCTCTGTGAGTTGGAGACCAGCCTGGTCTATAAGAGCTAGTTCCAGGACAGCCTCCAAAGCCACAGAGAAACCCTGTCTTGAAAAACCAAGAGAGAGAGAGAGAGAGAGAGAGAGAGAGAGAGAGAGAGAGAGAGAGAAATTTCTTTTAGGCAGGGTCCTTTTGGGTATTTCTGGACTCACTATGTAGATCAGGTTGGTCTTCAATTCACAGAGCTCCATCTGCATCTGACTCCCAAGTGTTGTGAGTAAAGGCATGTGCCCCTATGCCTGGCTTCAGTTTAACAATGTTTTTTGGTTCTTTGAGACATGGTTTCTCTGTAGCTCTGGCTGACCTGGAACTCACTCTGTAGACCAGGCTAGCCTCAAACTCACAGAGATCCGCCTGCCTCTGCCTCCTAAGTACTGGGATTAGAGGTGTTCACCACCAGTGCCCAGCCTTCTCTTCCTTTCTTTTCTTTAGAGGCAACTTCTCTTTATGAAGGTCAGACTGCTCTGGGACTTGCTCTTAGTCTAGGCTGACCTTGAGTTCACCATCCCCCTGCTTTAGCCTATAGAGTGCTGAAATTATAGGCATGATTCCCACAGCTGGTACTAGTTGGTCTCTGGGGATAAGTTTAGGAAGGAAAGAATGGAAGGGAGAAGTGAGTGGTTGAGATGACATTTAGGATGTTGTTCAAAGACCAGTATCATCACTCTGCATTTCACCAACAGGATGAGGCATAGGAGGTCCTTGTCACTAAGCATCAAATATAAATAACACAAAACCTGGCATAGTGGCACACACTTGTAACCTCAGCATTCAGAAACTGAGCTAGAATTACTTCAAATTCATGGCCAGCCAGGGATACATACTGAGTATCAAACCAGCCTGGGCTACATAACAAGATCCTGTCTCAAAACCAAAAGGGAACAATGATAACAATATAGAGTGCATGTGAACTGTGCACTGGAGACTTATGATCAATTTCTATTCAAAAAAAATTTTTGACAGGTGGTAGTGATACATGCCTTTGGGAGGCAGAGGCAGGTAGATGTCTGAGTTTGAGGCAAGCATTGATTACAGAGTTAGTTCCAAGACAGAGAAAAAAATCTGTCTTGAAAAAAACCAAGCCAGGCGTTGGTGGCGCACTCATTTAATCCCAGCACTCAGGAGGCAGTGGCAGGTGGATCTCTGTGAGTTCGAGGCCAGCCTGGTCTCCAGAGCAAGTGCCAGGATAGGCTCCAAAAGCTATACAGAGAAACCCTGTCTCGAAAAACCAAAATAAAATAAAATAAAACCAAAGCCAAAAAACCACATAATAATAATTATGAAGATGATAAACAAAGGAGGAAGGAAGGAAGGAGAGAAAGAAAGAAAATAAATTTTCTCTGGGAGAGAGAAAGAGAGAGAGGAGAGAGAGAGGAAGGAAGAAAGCAAGAAAGGAAGGAAATAAATTTCCTCTGAGTGTGGTGGTGCATGCCTTTAATCCCAGCACTTGGCAGGCAGAAGATGATGAATATTGGTGAGTTTGGGGCCTATCTGGTCTATATAGTGAGTTCCAGGTCAGTCAGAGTATATACAGAGGTCCTATCTCAAAACAACCAACCAACCAAATAAGGGGTGGGTTGGGATGGGAGGGAGAACAGGAGGGATGAGGGGGAAAGAGGAAAGAGAGGATGGCTCTTCGAAGCCTGGCTTGGTGGCACATATCTGCAGTGCCAGCTCTTGGGAGAATGAGGCAAAAGGATCAAAAGTTTGAAGCCAGTTTGTGCTACATAGCCACACCTTGTCTCAGAAAACAAAAACCAAAAAAATTCAATTCAGTCTTTTTAGCTTTCTGATCTAGAACGTGGTCTCCACTAGAGCAATCTAGTTTTACCCTGTAGGGCTCCTCGGGACATCAGTAAAAATAGCTTCTCCAAGCCACCTCTCTAAAGGTTAAAGACATTTGAGCTGCCCCCAAAGGACATGCAGGACAGAGCCCTGTGAATACAGCAGGGACTACTGCAGCTGAGCAGGGGTGGGGGCCTACGAGCCCATCTTGTGGTTAAACAGGAAAAGATAAAACTGGGCACAGTGGTAAAGTCCTATAAATCCAAGCACTCAGGAGGGAGAGGCAGCAGGACTATTGATATGGATTTGAGGCCAGCCTGGGCAGCCATGTGAGACCTTTATATAAATAATGAGAGGAAACAAGAAAATACTGAAGGGCTCAGCAGCTATAGAATGAAATGTTTCAACATTACAAACATGTCATAGTTTTCCCAAGTAAATCCTTTCATTAAATTAACTGTGACATACAGAGAAGACTCCCTGTGCTGGCACAAGCTAGAATCATGGGAGGGGAGGATTTCTCAATTGAGAAAATGCCTCCATAAAATCCAGCTGTAGGAAAGCCTTATAGGGCATTTTCAAGGGCTAGGGTTAATGGCCTTCTCCACCAGGACTGTCCTGTCCCTCCATTATTTAAACCTTTTATTTTCATTATCTTTAGTTATGTGTAAGTGTGTATGTGTGCAAGTGAATGCACGTGCCTGTGGAGGCCAGGACTGTTCTGAATCCCCTGGAGCTAGAGTTATAGGCAGTTGTGAGCGGCTTAACATGGGTGCTGGGAACCAAACCTCCAGAAGAGCAGCAAGTGCTCTTAACTGCTGAGCCATCTCTCCAGCCCCTGTTTCTATTTTTTTCCCTGTTTCTATTTTTTGAGACAGAGTTTCATGTAGCCAAGCTGGCCTCCAACTCACTATGTAGCTGAGGCTGGTTTTGAATTCCTGATTCTCCTGCTGCCATTCAGCAAGCACTAGGTTTACAGGTTTACACTGCTACAGCTGGCTCTTTCATATAATGGGCAAACTTTCAACACTTAACACTATTGATTCTTTCCATTTGCTTCCTGGCAAAAATTCCCCAAGTCCTCTTGATCTGGGGTCCTCGGCCAGAGACTTCCTCCAATGCCTGTCTTGCACTGCCGGGGCTAACAGATCCCAGGGTGCCATGCATTTCCATAAACAGGGACATTGTGTTTTCTCAGCCTCTTGCTTTTCTTCCAGTTCTTCCTGGACAGCTCCTCCACTCCCTCCCCATGGTTCCTTCCCTCAGAGGAACAGTCCACCTTGTCTTTGATGGCATCAGGGTGGGGACACATTTCTGAGGGCAGGTAAGGAACACTTTGTTCCCACAGGATGAAGAAAGGGGAACTCTTTGACTACCTCACAGAGAAGGTCACCTTGACTGAGAAGGAAACCAGGTAAGGGGCGGCCATGCACCATCTCCACCCCTTCTCCAAGTAGTAGGACCAGTACCACAGTGGTCTGGCAGGAGGCCTAGTGTGCAAGTCTTAGCTGAGGTCATGCTGCCTCTGTAATATAGCTCCTTGGCTCATCTATAGTCTAGGATCTAGATGGTTCCAGCCTATCCTGAATCCTCCATTGCACACAGTGTGGTTGGTATGTGGGCTTTGGCCTCCTTCCCTCTTCTCCCTGATGAGTGGAAGAGTAATGTGTAGGGGAACACTCAATTCTGCTGTGTGGGAAAAGTTTTGCCCAGTTCTAGAATCAAAAATTAAGCCAATGTGCCTGGAGACATAGCTTAGCAGTTAAGAGCACTTGTTACTCTTGTTTTTGTTTGAGATAGGGTCTCATTATATAGCCCTGCCTGGCCTGGAACTTGATATGAAGACCAGGGTGGCCTTGAACTCACAGAGATCTGCCTGCCTCTCTGCCTGCAAAGTGTTGGCAGTAAACTCTTGCACCACCACTCCTAACACACTTGCAACTCTTTCGAGGGACCTAGGTTTGGTTCCCAGCACCCATGACAGTGGCTTACACATTTCTCTGACTCTGTTCTAGAGGATCTGATGTCTTCTGACCACCTTGGACACTATATAAATGTGGTGCATATACGTACACTCAGGCATACACATGCATTATGCATTAAATGAATAAATACAATCTATTAAAAACAAAAACAAGGCTGGGCGTTGGTGGCACACACCTTTAATCCCAGCACTCGGGAGGCAGAGGCAGGTGGATCTCGGTGAGTTCGAAGCCAGCCTGGTCTACAAGAGCTAGTTCCAAGACAGCCTCCAAAGCCAAAGAGAAACCGTGTCTCCAGAAAAAAAAAAACAAAACTGTATAGTGCTTACCCTGCACGTTTAAAGTCCTGATTCCCATCTCTAGTACCTGGGGTAATGTACAAAAAATTAAAACTGACTGGTGATGAAAACCTGTAATCCCAACAATCTGGAGGCTGAGGCAGGAGGATCATGAGTTCAAGGCTTACATGAGTTGCATGTGACACCATGTTTCAAAAAGTAAAAATAGTGTTAGGCCATAGTTCAGCTGCTAGAGTGTTTGCCTTGCATGTAGGAAGCATAAACTGGTGATGGTGGCATATACCTATAATCCCAGCACTTGGGAAGATGAAGAGTTCAGGGTCATTCACAGCTACATAGTAGTTTAGTTGCCAGCCTGGGCTATAGGACACCTTGTCACAATAAAATAAAATAAAATAGCCATGTGTGGTGGTGCTAGACTTTAATCTCAGCATTCAAGAGACAGATGTAGGAAGATCTCTGAGTTCAAGGCCAGCCTGGTCTATAGAGTGAGTTTCAGGATAGCTAGGACTACACAGAGAAATCCTGTCTTGAAAAACAAAAAAACAGCACAACAATAATATATAAAATAACAATAAGCCATTGCCATGTATCTGTCTCCTCAGAAAGATCATGCGGGCCCTGCTGGAAGTGATCTGCACCCTGCACAAACTCAACATTGTCCATCGGGACCTGAAGCCGGAGAACATCCTTCTAGATGATGACATGAACATCAAGCTCACAGACTTCGGATTTTCCTGCCAGCTGCAGCCAGGAGAAAGGCTCCGAGGTCTGGTACTATGGTCTTGGTCCAGAGGGCCTCAGGGATGGAAATGGCCTGAATGTCTACCACCTCAGTGGCTGAGGAGATGGCTCAGTGGGTAAAAAAAGGATACATAAGCATGAGGACCTGAGTTTGAATCCATAGGGCCCATGTAACCTCAACACTGGACAGGCAGATAGGAGGATCCTTGGGTATTGCTGGCCAGCCAGTCCACCTGAATCAGCCAGCTTCGGGCCAGTGAGAGACCTTGCCTCAAAAACAAGATGGAGAGCAATCAAGGAAGACACCTGACATTGACTTCTGGCTTTCACATCACACACACACACACACACACACACACACACACACACACACACACACACACACACACACATCCCAGAAATGACTCAGCAGTTAAAAGCATGGGTTGCTCTTCCAGAGGACCTGAGTTTGAGTCCCAGCCCCCACATTGCCAATCACAAATGTCTGTAACTCCAATTTCAGGAGATTGGGCCCCAGGCAACCATATGGTACACAGATATGACTGTAGGCATCCATATACACGAATTAAAAAAAAAAAAAGAACATGTATTCCTTATGTAGAAGACCCAAGTTTTAGTTCCCAGCACACACAGAGAGAGACTTTCAAAGCCACCTATAATTCCAGTTCTAAAGGATAAGACTTTCTTCTGGTTTCTGGACATTTTTACCTATGCGCACATACCCAGAGGCTAGATGTCTCTTGAGTCAAGTCCTCTCCCTAGGACTACACTGACCTGGGTCACCCCAGCTTGAGCTCCGTGCCAGGGTGTCTAAAAGGATCTAGGAGTCCGTGGGTGGCCCCGTGAGCCTGTATACCCTGATGCTACTCTTGAGTGTGAAATAGGAGAGCCCTGCCAAGCACTGTTCTCGTCCCATCTCTTGGCTTCATTGGGTAACTGCTCCCAAGGGCCCCTGCTGGCCTGTCCTGATAGCGACTGTTCCCGCAGAGGTCTGCGGGACTCCCAGTTATCTGGCCCCTGAAATCATCCAGTGCTCCATGGACGACAGCCATCCTGGCTATGGGAAGGAGGTGGACATGTGAGTGACTTGGGTAGATGGCGGGAGGTGGTCCCCGGTAAAACTAGGAACTGTGGCCAGCCTGGCTACCCATGAGGCTGAGGGTGGCCTGAGTCCCTGCCGCCCTCTAGGTGGAGCACTGGGGTCATCATGTACACACTGCTGGCTGGCTCTCCGCCCTTCTGGCACCGGAAGCAGATGCTGATGTTGAGGATGATCATGGACGGCAAATACCAGTTTGGCTCACCAGAATGGGATGACTACTCAGACACGGTGAAAGACTTGGTGAGAGGCCATGCCCACCAGCTCTATGGATGTCAAGGGAGAGGAAACCACCCCAACGCAGGGAGCATACCCCAGAGTGGAGGAATCTCCGGGAGGGGCCCCTCTGTATTTGTCTCAGTGCTGTTACAAAATACCTAGCAAAAGCTACTTAAACCGGGCGGTGGTGGCACACGCCTTTAATCCCAGCACTCAGGAGGCAGAGGCAGAGGCAGGCAAATTTCTGTGAGTTCGAGACCAGCCTGGTTTACAAGAGCTAGTTCCAGGACAGCCTCCAAAGCCACAGAGAAACCCTGTCTTGAAAAACCAAAACAAAAAACAAAAAAAAAACCCTACTTAAGAGGCTGGAGAGATGGCTCAGAGGTTAAGAGCTCTGGGTGCTCTTCCAGAGGTCACGAGTTCTATTCTCAGCAACCTAGTGGTGGCTTGCAACCATTTATAATGAGATCTGGTGCCCTCTTCTGGCATGCAGGCATGCGTGCAGGCAGAACACTGTACACATAATAAATAAATTTTAAAAAGCTACTTAAGGAAGGGTTAATTCTGGCTTATGGTTTGTGGCTCCAGATGTGTGAGGAGACTGGTCACCTGATATCCACAGTCAGGAAGCAGAAAGAGATGGATGCTGGTGCTCAGCTCATGTTTTTCTTTCTGTCTAGGACCCTAGCCTAGGGAATGGTGCCGCTCACATTTAGAGTGGAGCGTCCCACCTCCACCTATCTAACCAATCCCTCACAGACACACCCAGAGATCTGTTTCCCCAGCTGTTCTAAATCCTGTCAAGTTGGCAATAAGGATTGACCCTCACACCTTGTGTCTTCCAAAACATAGCCTCAGTTCCCTTCTGTTCTCACAGGTGTCTCGCTTCTTGGTGTTGCAACCCCAGGACCGCTGCTCCGCAGAAGAGGCCTTGGCACACCCTTTCTTCCAGCAGTATGTGGTGGAAGAAGTGCGGCACTTCAGCCCCCGAGGGAAGTTCAAGGTACTGAAACTCACCTTGGCCAAGTGGCCTGGTGGGGTTGCTGTTCGCTCCTGGAGTACTCTATACCTGCTGGCACCATGCTCCCAGAGCCTTAAACTGTGGGGGATTCTAGAATTGCTCTTCTTCTTCTTCTTCTTCTTCTTCTTCTTCTTCTTCTTCTTCTTCTTCTTCTTCTTCTTCTTCTTCTTCTTCTTCTTCTTCTTCTTCTTCTTTGCTCTCCTCCCTCCTCTTCTCTTTCGTCTTCCTCCCTCTCTCTCTCTCTCTCTCTCTCTCTCTCTCTCTCTCTCTCTCTCTCTCGTTTTTTTTGAGACAGGGTTTCTCTGTATTGCCTTGAAGGTTGTCCTGGAACTTACTCTGTAGACCAGGCTGGCCTCAAACTCAGAGATCCTCTGCCTCCCGAGTGCTGGCATTAAAGGCGTGCGCCACCAACCCCCTTCCTTCCTTCCTTCCTTCCTTCCTTCCTTCCATCCTTCCTTCCTTCCTTCCTTCCTTCTCACTTCCTCCCCCCACCCCCTTTCTTCTGAGACAGGGCTTCCCTGTGTAGCTCTGACTGTCCTGGAACCCACTCTGTATACAAGGCTGGTCTCTAACTCAGAGATCCTCCTGCCCCTGCCACCCAAGTGCTGGAATTAAAGGTGTGCCCTACCACCGCCGAGCAAATTGCCCCCCTTCTTGTATCCACTGTTGCAATTCAATTTCTGGTCGCAGGGAATGTCCTAAATCCCGATAGATACTTGTGGTCTTGGAATAAGGGGCATCATGGAGGGGCATCCCCCAAAGCCATCATGGCTTTTCTGACAAGCTCAGCTGCGGGCTGAGGGTTCTCAGTGCTGCCTCCTGCAGGTGATCTGTCTAACTGTGCTGGCCTCGGTAAGGATCTACTACCAATACCGTCGGGTGAAGCCGGTAACCAGAGAGATCGTCATCCGAGATCCCTACGCACTGAGGCCTCTACGGAGGCTCATCGATGCCTACGCTTTCCGAATCTACGGCCATTGGGTGAAGAAAGGGCAGCAGCAGAATAGGGCTGCCCTCTTCGAGAACACACCCAAGGCAGTCCTCCTCTCCTTGGCTGAGGAGGAGGACTTCTGAGGGGCAGTGGGGCACAGAGGGAGGCAGAGAGCCGACACCCCAGAACTGTGAGGCGTCCCTAAGTAGGCCTCAGCGTCTGAGCAGGTGACCCTACTCTGTGCTTCCAAAAGCTCCCCACTAGAAGCACATGGTGTTCCCGTTAAACAGCAGCAATTACAGCTGGGGCTGAGTGTGGTGGCCTGCGCCTGTAGTCCTGAAGCAGTAGGATCCCAAGTTCCAGGCCAGCCTGGGCAGCTTAGTGATCATTGTTTCAAAGTAAAAATAGGGCTGGGAATGTAACTCCGTGGTGAGTGTAAAGCCCTGAGTTCAGCCAACTCCCGGTATGACAAAAATTTTAAAAATAAAAATAAATAAATAGATCCAGTGCAGCTGAGGCTGTGTCAGGCAGGAGTGGAAGGGCAGAGAGCAAGTGCTCTGGGAGCTATAAGCCTTCTGGCTTCTCTGTTGTGTGCCTTTGTCACTGTCTTGGGTTCTTTCTCCTTTTTCAAATTTATATATCTTAATGTGTGTTTTGTCCACCTGTTATGTGCCCTGCTGCATGCAGTACCTGTGGAGGCCAAGAGGGTGTCAGATGCCTGAAACTGGAGTTAAGGATAGTCGGGGACCACCTTGTGGGTGGTAGGAACTGAACCATTCTTCTAAAAGCACAAGTGCTTTGAACCACTGAGCCATCTCTCTAGCCTGTTTCAGTTTCTTTATGGGCCCAAGGTTATTGATCATTGAGGAAGTGGAGACAGGATGATCAGGGGTTCAAGGTTATTCTTGGCTACACAAGGATTATGAGGCTAGCCTGAACTACATGAGACCCTATCTCAAACAACAATTTAAAAAAAAAACAAAGTGGACCTCATGATACACACAAATGCAGAGTTTATTGACCTGAGATCCAGTGACACTGTGGATCCAGTTCTTTCCGAGGGACATGTTTGCCGAATTACACGGAAGTCCCTACATATTAACACTCAGAGGAGAAACTTATGACATTTGTCTTCCTAGAGGAGCACGGACCTTGTTACCCCCACAATGCACAGCTTCACTTGGTAAATTATTGGTCTACCAGAGTGTTTTAATACTGTGGACTGTGAGCCGGGGCGCACGCCTTTAATCCCAGCACTCGGGAGGCAGAGGCAGGTGGATCTCTGTGAGTTCGAGCCCAGCCTGGTCTACAAGACCTAGTACCAGGACAGCCTCCAAAGCCACAGAGAAACCCTGTCTCGAAAAAACAAAAACAAAATACCGTGGACTGTATACAATCCCAGCACCCAGGAAGCCGAGGCCAGAGGACTGAGAGCCCGCCTTGCCATATGATGAGCACTCTGGGAGGCTAGGGTCCCTCAGAGGGGTTTTAGGCACCATCACATAAGGGAAGCACTGTCCTTCTACAGGATTTCCCAGGAGAAGTGAAAGTGCAATCAGATAGGGAGAAAGAAAAGGAAGATATTAGTTTTTTGAGACAGGGTCTCTCAGTGTAGCCTTGGCTGTCCTGGAACTCACTCTGTATGCCAGGCTGATCTCAAACTCACAGAGATCCACCTGCCTCTACTTCCCAAGTGCAGGGATTGTGTTACCACCACCTGGCTGAAAGGGAGAAATTTTTCAATCGCTGTCTTTTGAAAAGCTACCCCAGATATTGGAGTACTTGTTTCCTATGTCCTTAATTCTGCACTTCAGAGAAACACCTAGCTCCCAGCCAAGGTCATCAGGCTATGGTAGTCCCTTCTCAGGGTTGAGTGTTCTTATGCCCTTAGGAGGCATCTGCCGGAGAGAAAGGGCTCAAAGGGAGGCCACCCAAAGGCTGATGAAGAACTTGGTATCTGGATGCCTCTGGAACGTGGTCAGGGACACACAGAACTGACAGGAGCTTTCTCTATCTCTGCCTGGATGCTCAGAGATCCTCCTTCAGTTGGCCTGTGCTGGAAGCGCAGCGGAAGCCCAGGTTGTCTGAGGCTGAATCTGGAGTGTTGCCCATCCTGTAGCAGAGCAGGGAGAGAATATGCATACTGTTGGGGATGGGGTCTTCTGAGAAGGGAGTTGATGTGTTGGTTTGAAGGAGAGGGGGCCCCATAGGCTCATATATTTTAATACTTAGTCATGAGGTAGTGGAATTATCTAAGAAGGATTGGGAGGTGTGGCCATGTTGGAGTAGGTGTGGCCTTCTTGGAGGAAATGTTCCTAGCGGTTGGCTTTGAGGCTTCAAAGCCCACAAAGACCCAGTGTCTCTCTCTCTCCTTGTGAATAGGGGGTGTAAAGCTCTCAGCTACTGCTCCAGTTCCATGCTGGTCTGCTTCTGGCCATGATGATCATTGACTAAGCCTCTAAAACTGTAAGCAAGTCCCCGATTAAATGCTTTCTTCTATAAGAATTGCCTTGGTCATGGTGCCTCTTCACAACAGCCAAATAGTAACTAATACAGTTGATTTGAAGGCAAGACAGCTAGTATGCCATTAGGGGTTAGGGGACAGAATGGGAAGCTGAGTGGCCACAGAGGATTGCAATGGAAGATGATCTTAGTGGCCACTGATGAGTAAGGAGCTCCTATTCTAAGTTTAGGATAACAGCTCAACACACCCGCAGTGAAAAATGAGTTTCACAGCATGTGGTAGCTATTCTTGAAATTAACTAAAACTCAAAAATGGAGGGGCACACCTATGAGGGATTTTTGCTTAATTTGAAGTGGAAAGATCTGCTTCTAATCTAAGTCTTTGAGGTGGGAAGACCTATCTCTATTCTGGAGCACACCTTCTGCTGGAAGCCTATATAAGGACATGGAAGAAGTAAGCTTTTGCTCTTTGCCTGCTTGCTTTCGTTTGCTAGCAAGTCCATCCCTTTATTGGCATTAGAGCCTACTTCTTTGGGATTCCAGTGTATACTGAAGACCAGTTGAGACAACCAGTCTCGTGGACTAGACAATTACTGGATTCTTGGACCTTCTGTACAGGCAGCTATTATTGGATTAGCTGGACCACAGTGTGTTAGTCATTCTAATAAGTTTCCTTTATATAGCTATAGATATTGATATAGATGATAGACAGATAGATAGATATTTACTCACTAAGTTTTGTTACTCTAGAGAACCTTGACTGATACACAGCAGTTAGCTCTGACAGGCAGGGCCTCACCATCTTCCAGTCTGGCCAAGGCCGATCAACTCAAATCTACAGTGAATAAAGCAGAAGTCCCGAAGACTGGAATTCGATGCTGGGGGAGCCACCAATGATCACACCATATGAAATGAGCAGTCCTGGCACCTCACTGACAAAATGACTATAAGCAATGACTTTCTGTGCATCCAGCAGCTGGATGAGTAAGTTAAGACATGTCTCCTGGCTGTGACTCACTGATGTGCAATTCTGTCTCCTTTCCTCTGCCCTGCTCCACGTGAGAAGGAAACCTGGAGCACAAGGTTGCCAGACAGTTCCCTTAGTTCCAGTGAGTCTAAAGAAGGGGTCCCCAGGCTGTACTTCCCATGGTCAACAGTGCTGACTTGCTTCTCTTACAACTTTCAGTGGAGGTTGGATATGCAAGAAGGGTGAGGAGTGTGAACCAGATACTGAAAGTGGTGGGCAAGAAAGCGACTGGAGTGAAAAACCGGGATAGGGCGCAGAAGCAGCACTGACGCCAGCTCTGGGCCACTTGGGCCCAGGAGCCCAGCATCCACACCCTCAGTCATGGCTACAGAGGCTTGTGGTCCCTGACCCAAGACCCTCACCTGGTGGTGACCCGAGCCCGGTGATTGGCAGAGCCATCAGCTGTGTCGATCCATGATGCCCCCCGGAGGACACGCATGTCCTGGCTGGCAGATTGGTATATGGACGCTGTCCATTCCCACACATTGCCCATGAGGTCATATAGTCCTATGGTGTAATAGTGGGTCATTAGAAGGGGAAGTAGGGGACTCTCTCCTACCCACCAAATGCTCCGGGGAGGCTGGGGAGAGTTTATTCTGCCACCTTGTCAGATACTGTATAAGAAGGAGGTCTTACCATAGTTGTTCTGTGGGGGGAAGGCATTCACTGGTGACAGTCCATGAAAACCGTCTTCAGCTCTGTCACCTTTGGGGAACTTTCCCTGACAAGAACAACAAAAGTGGGAGATTTATCAGCCGGTCCCAAAGCAGATGCTCCTGTTCACACAGAGGAAAACCAGGGTCACTCCACTCTCCTGCTTCATGGGGGAAGGATAGTGACCTCAGGTTCCCTTACATGGTGTTTTGGAAAGAGCACTGTTTCCACCCATCTATGTCCTGCATCGACTGCCCAGGATAGAGGCACTGGAGCCCATACTCTCCCATGTCTCCTGCTTTTACTTAAACATACCACCTATATTTATTCATGTGATTTGTTCAATTTCACTATTCTTCTTATCAAAACCAGAGTTCAGGAGCTGGAGAGATGGCTCAATGGGAAATGCATTTGCTGTGCTAACATGAAGACCCGAGTTCACATCCTGAGAACCCATATACAAATTGGGCATTGCCAGGCAGTGGTGGCACACACCTTTAACCCCTGCACTCAGAAGGCAGAGGCAGGCAGATCTCTGTGAGTTCAAGGCCAGCCTGGTTTACAGAGCCAGTTCCAGGATAGCCAGGACTGTTATATAGAGAAATCTTGTCTCAGGGAAAAAAAAAAAAGCTAGACATAGTGGCATGTATCTATAACTCTGGTTCTGGGGGGCAGAGACAGGCACAGCCTGGGAACTAGTTGGCTAGGCAGTTGAGCTGAAATGATGAGCTCCATCTCCCACTGAGGAGTCCAGTCTCCAAAAATACTGTGATTAAGAGCATGCACTGAGGACAGGAGAGATAGCTCAGCAGTTAAGAGCATGGGTTGCTCTTCCAGAAGACCCGGGTTCAATTTCCAGCATCCACATGGCAGTTCACAACTGTCTGTAACTCCAATTCCAGGGAATCTGACACCCTTACACAGACATACATGCAGACAAAACATGAATGCACATAAAAATAAATATTTAAAAGATAGCTTGTACAGCCGGGCATTGGTGGCACACGCCTTTAATTCCAGCACTCGTGGGGCAGAGGCAGGCAGATCTCTGTGACTTCGAGGCCAGCCTGGTCTCCAGATCTCCATAGCGAGTGCCAGGATAGGCTCCAAAGCTACAAAGAGAAAACCTGTCTCGAAAAAAAAAAGATAGCATGTACTATGCCACTGTGCTTGTAGAGAACCCAAGAAAACTGAAGTTCTGTTCTGAGAACTCATGTCCTGGAACTCACTCTGTAGACCAGGATGACCCTGAACTCAGAGGTCTGTCTATCTCTGCCCACCACCCAGTGATAGGAATAAAGGCATGCGTCACCACACCCAGATTCATAATTGAAAAATTTTAAAATACTAAAAATACAAAGTGGAGAAGTGAGGAAGATAGCATACATGAATACATCGGCACACTCATGCATACATCACATATGCCCAATAAACAAACTGAAGTAGGGTTGCCCCAACACTGGAGAAGCTACTCCTACACAAAGAAGGATGGCTGGGCAGTGATTTGCTCAACCATGTTTATTCTCTCTCTCTCTCTCTCTCTCTCTCTCTCTCTCTCTCTCTCTCTCTCTCTCTCTCTCTCTCTCTCTCTCTCTCTCTGCTTTTCGAGACAGGGTTTCACTGTGTAAGCCCTGGTTATCCTGGAACTCACTCTAGATCAGGCTGGCCTCAAACACACTGGGATCCACCTGCCTCTACCTCCCAAGTGCTGGGATTAAAGGCGTGCGCCATCATTGCCAGGCTGCATTATCTAAGTGAGTGTTTAACTGCTACGCCCACGGCGCTCACGCCTGTGTAGCAGAAGATGCCACTAAGGCGGGTTAAGGCCGCTGGGTTGGGGTCTGTGCTCCCCGGAGATGAGCCCCAGGCGGTTCCCTGGTGATCATGATGCCCGATGAGTCAACTCGAAGCTGCTGTCATTGGTGCCACTGCAGCCTCTTCTTCCTTGTCTTCTGTTCTGTGTATTTCTTGTGTCTTGCCAGCAAACTACACTGATGTTAAAGGAACATCTGAGGACATAATTAGGGAATAAGATGGGTGAATCATGAGGGAAAAAGACAACTTTAGAAA